AAAAATAATCTTGAAAGACGAAATACGCGCCAACTAAACATGACAAACTACCAAGCGTCTGCTGTTGTTGTCGCCAAAAACAAATAATTTCAGTTGTTAGCAGTTTTGAGCGCTAACGGTGGCAACCGCTTCCCGTTATTAACATATGTATGTATGTATGTATAGTTATGTAACACTGCCGCCCAACTGCCTGCAGCTCATAAGCAATGTAAGTATGTGTGTGTGTAAGTACAAATGTGTATGTGTTTTCTTTTTTCTTGTGTTTGTATGTGCATTTTCATACCTTCCTCATCGCCCAACTTGTAGACCAACTCCTTAGCGCGATTTGGTATGTTGTCGAATTTCTCGAGTATGACTCCTTTAATGTGTTGCGCCCAGAGACGTTTCTGGTCACGATTTTTGGCTGTCAATTTGATTTGATTACGCGGCTCATGGTAGGGTATTACATAAAAGCTCGTCGGTTCGCCGGGTAAATGTTCGCTTAGCATTAGATTATTTTGCTGTGTGTGAGAAAAAACGAAAGCAAAACCGATGAAAGGAAATGCATTAGTGCAAAGCAAATATAGAAATTTATAGTAAAAGTAAAAATGGCGCGCGATATATGCCATCAACGAAATGCAGACTGGTGTGGCAAAGACACATGTTTTCTTTGTAGACTTTTGTGGTTATAACTTACGTGTATGTAACTCTTAAATTGCAAACGATTATCCTCTTTGGACTTGGTAATGATCAGCATCGTGTCGAAAAGGAAGACCATGCGTGGCTTATTGTGTTCCATGAGGAGACCCTCTTGGCGGAGTTCGCCCAAAACGGTTAGTTCTAGGAAAATAATTAAAGTGAAAATAATACGTAGAAATAGATAATGGCTTAGAACTTAAAGAAGGTCAAATATTATATAACTAACATAGTATGTACTGTTATACATATATGACATTTTATTGATAATATATTTTTTTATTTTAATACCTATCAATATAATTTATTTGTTAGCATTACAACTACTTTAAAAATGTTAAATCTTATAATAATTAAGTAATAATCGTACTTTTCACAAGCTTATTGGAATTTTGAAATTTTGCTGTCGTAATGTCATTTTTTTTAAGAAATATGCCCAATACGTTTGAAAAGTACAATTTTTATTCACATTTACCGTACTAAGAAAACACTACCAAATTCATTTAATTTTCAAAAAATATATGGAAAATAAAAGTCAGGTGGCAACTCTGTAAAGTAATATTTTTGAAAAAAGCTTACTAATTAAATATCAGTATTTACACTTTTAAAATTTTTACTTTCCATTTATGTTTGAATGAAATCCAACTTTGAAACTTTTTTTGTCAATTTCGATTTGTAAGAAAGGTAGCAACTACATTTTAAAAACTCAACTTATCTTAACATTTAGTTTAGTGCATATCGCATTTGATTAAAAAAAATGTAAAAACATAAGTGGCAACTCTCAAAAATAATGTTTTTGCAAAAAAGCTTACTAATTAAATTTCATGGTATACACATTCTTTTATTTTTTTCTTTCCATTTTTTTCTGAATAAAATCCATCTGGCAACGCAATAAAAGTTAATAATTATAAAACAAAAACAAAACTTAGTTCTAAACAAACAAAACAAAATATTCTTCTACGATGGTCAATATGACCATGTATCACATTTTTTGCCATCTTGCAACTTTGAAATGTTTTTTATTTTAAAATTAATTTAAATATTTAACAACGGTGGCAACGGCGTTTAGTTATGTAATTTTACATAATTTAATTTAATATATACACGTTACTACCGATCATCAACCTATTCATTTAATTTTCAAAAGAATATAAAAAAATAGGAGTCAGTTGGCAACTCTGAAAATGAAAATTTTTCCAAAAAGTTCAAAAATTAAATTACTTAATATTAACATTTATGAAATGTTTTATTTACATTTATTTCTTTATTAAACCCACCCTGGCAACACGCTAAAATGTATAATTTTCAAGCAAAAATAAAAGTTAAACCCTTATTTCAACACTTACAAAAAATGATATTATTTTAAATATTCAGATACTTTTCATAATTCTTAATAATCACTTTTTACCAATATCATAACATATTTTTTCCAATTATTAAGTCGACATATTTAGTTAGTTCATAATGGTGGAAACTAATTTTTAACAAATCAACTTTTAAATAACATTTAAAACTCGAATGCAATAAACATTTTCACATTACTAATTTAAGTAAAAAAAAAAAATTAATTTAAAAAAGCGGCAACTCAGAAAATTAATATTTGTAAAAATAAATGTTAAAAGTGTTTTATTCGAATATGTTTCCCTTTGCGAATTCTCATTGCATTCCTTTTTTTAATTCATATGGCAACTCCCTCCATTAAATTTTTTTCAAAATAACATCAACACTGACTGATTAGTTAAAAACCAATATAATTGCTGATATTAATTATTACTAGTAATAATTTTATTTTCGGTACCAAAACTTTAAGCTTCATATACATTTCTCCTTCTTTGAACTCACCTGGTCCCAACCAACCGTCCAATATGCCAGATAGTTCTTTAACTCTTATTTGTTGCTCCAACTTACGCTTCACCTGATCGATATTACGCGCCACTTGCCGCATGATTTCGTAGGCTTGCAACACTTCCTTCACATCGCAATGCTTACGAAGGTTCTAAAATACAAACAACAACAACATATAAGCAAATATAATATATAGAAAATATTTGTGGTGCGCTTACGTCCAATAGCAGATGATATTTAAGTATACGTTGCACCGGCTTCAGCAAATATGAGCCGAGTGGCAATTTGTGTTGCAACATTTTTTGTGTGGACGTCAGCAGTGCGTTGGTGTGTGTGGCCTGTAGCAGTTTGGTCAGCAGTGATATGGCTTCAGGATAACTTGTACTGTAAGAAGAGGAAGAAGAACTTCATAAAATATTACGAAATTTTTGCTATGACAATTTTTTAGTAATAAATATATTTTTTAAATTATTAAAGAAACTAGGTTTTAATAAACATAAAACTTATAAAAGAAAGGGGGATTTTGGTTTTCCCATAAATTTTGAGGCCAATTTGAGAAGTTTTAAATTTTCTCATTTAAATTTTGTCCATTGAATTCGCAGTTTTGCCTGAAACCGATATAACCTTTCTTTAACCTTAAAATTATTTTTCATTTCATTTTGGTTATTTTATTTTGCAATGAATATGTTAGAAAGGGATGTCCTCAAGATGACATCACCAAAGTTAAAGCCACAAGCTTTTTATTGGTATCCTACCAATTTTGTTATTTTGGCGAAGAAATATTATTTTTAAATTAAAGTTTAAAAATTCTGAAAAAAAGGTGAAGTAATTTGCAATATATATATAATTATATTTGTATAATTTTATTAAGAGTGGCAGCTCTGTTCAACGAATATTTTAACACAAGCGCTTCAGCGAATCATTTTACTTCATTTGATATATGTGCTTTTAGAATTTGCGTAAAGGTGGCAACCGTTTTCTACCAACATTTAAATGCATAAAATATATTAAAAAAAAATTTTTATTGAACACTGTCAAATTTCCAATTTAACTATTTATTTGTATTTTTTTATTATGTTTTCGTCAGGTGGCAGCTCAGTAACAATACGTTCCTAGTTATGATTTTAAGCTGTCAATTTTAAAATATTTTTTATTTTTATTTTACAAGAAATTATCATATATGACTTGTTTTATTTGACTTTATTAAGGGTGGCAACCCTGTTCGATCAATATATTAACGTAAGCATTTAAGAATATTTTTTGTACTGTAAATTAAGAGAATAATTTTATGATATATGATATAAATTTAGAAATTATATAAAGGTGGCAACTCTATCTAAAAAAAAACATGTTTACGAAAGCGCTTGTAAATATTTGTTTGACGCTTTCAAATTTCAAATAAAAAAATAATTTTTCATCAAATTTTGTTTTTGGGCAGATGGCAACTCCATAAACGACAACTTTGTATTAATAGTTTATGAAGGTAATAATTTAGAATATTCCTTAACGAAGACAAAAAAATAATACATAATCGCAGTACCGTTCGCACGACATTCGAGTCTTCATAACCGGTATGGATCCCGATTTCTATTCAGCCAAGAAGAAAAATTATTTCTTTTATAGAATTTTTGGGATCTGTGGAGGGTTCTATAGCTTCCGTGCAACCCAAGTTCGTGCTTTTTCTTTTCTTTTTTAATGCCTTATTATTACATAAAAAATTCCTCTGCTTTAGGAACACTATGATTGCTCAGTTGAAAAACAACTTTTGAGATTCAACAACTCAATTCGAATTCCTCTTAAACTCTGTTCTGTGTCAAGCTTAAATGTTCATTGTGTTACTAAGAATTTGTTTATTTGTTTTTTCTTATTAATCCGACCACAAAAGAAACACTTATCGCCTAATAAAAATCACCATTGTCAAATAGAGAATTCCAAGCGCTGGCAGGGTCACTGCAAACAAAAGTTTCAAATGCCAACCAAAGTGCAACTGTCAAAAATGCAAAGCTTTGGCGGAGTAATAAAAAATATGCAAGTATAGCACATAAATTGCACTGACAGTAGGAGTCAAATACCAAAGCGACAGAATGTCACTCAAAGCGGCCAAGGCGAGCCTGAGGGTGGTGAGGCGCTGCAGCGCGCCATTTGGTGGCAGCGTGATGGCAGCAGCAAAGAATGCAAATCACAATCATGAAATCGTCATTTTTGCATTTTTCATTTACTATTTATTGTAATTGGTTTTGTTGTTGTTGCCACCAAGAGATTCCAACACGGTGTGCTGTGTCACTTTGCAAGCATGCAACAAGTACTCGAAACGTGTTTTGTTCGCTTGTCAGCGTGCACTCAACTAACTGACAGTGACAGAAAACAACCGCCAGCGCACTGATAGCGCAGCACTCCCACGAAAGCTTTGCAGCGCAGTTTTGCACAGTTAGCCCAGAACTGTCCGAGTGGCTTATTGGTAATGTCATCACTTCATGTTGAATATCTATCAGCGTATCTAGCGGAGCTCAAGACTCCAACTATGCCTCCAAGTTGTAGTAAATATGAATGCCAGCGAAGCGTATAAGCGCAAAAACAATAAAAATAAAAATTACAATAACAATAACAACAAACATACAGCAAGTAAGTAATAGATGGCGTGTTTGACAGCAACGAACTTCTAAGCAGCCACCAATCTAAGCGACCATCCATATCCACCAGTTTGATTGCAGAGCTGTGCGCTTTTGGAGGCAGCTAGTGGAGCAGCACTCAGCGCTTGTCTAACTGTCTAGCGAGCAAGCTAACTAGACACCTATCTGCGTGTATGTTTTATGTGTTTGTGGCGGATGGCATGACTGTCTGCATAGTTAACTGGCTGCTTGATTGCTTGGCCGACTGGCTGGCTGGCCGTTTGCCAAATGAAGTAACTGGACTGTCGTCTCAACTGGCTGCGTGTCTATCGCTGTTATGCTATCACTCGCTGCACTGCTGTCTGCCAAGTTCGCGTTAGACTCGCAACTAGGTTCTGCAGGCAATATTCTAGCAATCTGCACAGTGTCTACTAAGAAAGTTGTGTGTGTGCACACAATGGTAAACCGCAAAGGCGCAATTTTTCTTCGCTTTTCTAATTTCTAGCTTGTTGTTCTCGTAAAGAAATCAAGATCAGCGTTTTCTTCTGGTTTAGTTTTCTTATTGTTTTCTAGTTTTCTTTTTGCTGTTTTAAATTTCATTTATTTCTCTTTTTGTTTTACTAGAACACGCTTCTACCACTTTCATGCTCTGTTAACTGATTAACCATGTTGGAGCATTGCTGTTGTTGTTGCCATGCACTATTGCTTTTGGTGTGCAAATAAAATTTAATTTGGTGTCCGTTCGGGTGAAAAGAAAATCGTATGAATTTACAATAATAAAATCAACCACACGAAATTGGCAAGTCGCTTGTGCGAAATCTGATTAGACAAACGAGAGAGTAGAGACAATGCATGTTTATATGTATTGAACAAGAAGTTAGAAAGAACTCAAACACTATTGATCGACGATTGGACATGCAAAGCCAACGCAAGGCATTCATCCTGCTTTCGAACAGGTTTTGGTTTTTTTATTTCATTGTTAGCAGTTTTAACTCTCTTCCTGTTAACTTTTGGTTATATTTCTTTAATATTCCCCAACTAATTTAGCGAAGTTTTCAACCATCACGGATACAATTTAAAATTTTAACTATAGCTTTATAACAAAATTCTCGATTGATTCATTGGATTTTTTCGATCAGAAATTTTACCCTTTTGTTACAATTCCACCATTATCTCAATGGAGGTAATGCCAAAAAAAACTTCCTAGTCCGCTGGCATGTCTCCTACTAGAGTTCTTAGGTCATACCCTTTGAATTTTAACAGTCGTCATGTGCGTCCCATATTTCATGCATTCACATATAACATGTTTGTCGATTAAATATTATATTTAGAAATCGCCAGTGCCTTCTTATCGAAATCTAATTGAAGGCTTATCACGTTACCAGAAATATCACTATGTCCTGGAATCCATTACAGGTTTACCGTGAATTACGATATTAAAGAGATCAAGATCAAGGCATTTTTTTCATTATCTGCTACTAAATCCTAAAAGACTTTAGTGATTTTAAAGCCGTTCAGTTATCTGTATATATAAATATAATTCTGGTTATGGTCAGACTCTTTGTCAGAATAAGAAGATTTTGGTAGTCGGAAGACGATTCTGGTGTCTAATTTTGCAGAAATTGCAACATCCTTCATTCGATAATTCACTGCGTACTCATCCTATAGATACTTATCCCATTGTGGATCCATCCGCATAGATATCTCACCCCTATCCTAATCTTCTCTGGAAGGAAAGAGAATATTGAGGACCGGTTTCGAGTTTATTGGATAGAAACGGGTACTTGCGTCTTAGAATTACCCTATAACAGACGACTAGTAGGGAGGATTCCTTCCGTCTTTGACTGTCTCTTTTGCCAGTTGTTTAGAGAACCAGTTTGTGGGAAGTATATGTAAAATATTATTAAAAAGAATAGGATGCCCTTTTTTCATTTTTTTCAGTTAAGACGAGTTCCAAGAATCACTGCCCTTCGGAAAGCTTCTCTTTAAAAATATAACAGCCATTTTATTTCAAAATATCAATTTTCCATATATATATATTTGATAAAGGTAAGAGAGAAATTTGAATCGTTTTTCTTTTTTCCGATATTAAATGTCTAATTTTGAAACTCTTCTGGGGACATAAACTGGCGTAATCTTTAAACAAGTATGGTTAACAAACTTTTGATTTTCACTTACCAATATGTTGTGTATACATCAAATCTTTCGCGCAATTCTATAAAACATTTCGCTATTTTTCCTGGGTCCATACCAGAGTTGATTAACTGCTTCAGGAGTGTGGAGTTGAACTCATAAATCTCTTCAATATTTGAGAAGAGTATTTTCAGTTCGTCATAACGTAGGCAGGCACGTTCCTTCCAGTCCGACAAATAACTGTAAAATGATATTTAAAAAGATGAAAATTAAACTAAAAATAAATTAAAGTTAAGATAATGATTCCGGAATATTGTTGTGTGAAATAACTAAGAGAAAAAAGAAATTTAGAGTTGTAAAATCAGTTTGTGTACTCACCCTTTTATAACCTGCCCCAAGTCCTCCACAAAACTGCGTTCAGAGTCGACTATCTCTAGCATAGCGCGCTCTAAAACTGTCATACCACTATGCGGATCCATAAGTTCATTCTCACTTTGATCGGCCAGACTTTCAACACTCGCCAAATACGATGTGGCCAGCTTGCCATTCAGATGGTCCGAACCGGAACTGGAACTGGACGATGTTGAGCAAATGGAAGACGAAGAAAGCGGACGATGTTTGAGTTTGGCAATCTCTGGCAGCATTGGACAACCTTTGCGTGACTCTTTTGGCGAAAACTTTGACTTAATATCCGTTAAGCGATCTAAGCTCTCCGCCGACATTTTGCTTGCCTCCTCAAGCTCTTCTAACTGCTGTGCAGTGGGCAATTTTATTGGTACCGCGCCGCCCAAAGTATTGGCCTTCGCTGCTAAGCTTTTAGAGCGCGCATAGGTAAGCATCGGTGAACCGGACACAGTTGAGGCGCAAGCTGCTGACGAGCTGCGCACTAAAGGTTTAGAGATCACTGGCTTATTAATAGCTTCGATGAGTTCAACGCTTGTCATGGATGAGTTCATGCTGTCCTTTTCACTGAGCGTAAGCGATGCGAGATCTTTTGTGATTACCGGATAGTTCAAAGTCTCAACAAAATCTGAAGGTGACAAAGGTGCAGTGGCGATAAACTCTTTGGAAGGTATTGGTGGTGGTGTATTGAGCGCGCTAGAGAGACTATTATTGTTGTTTATATTATTATTATTATTATGATTGTGATTTTGTTGGTGTTCCACCGCCAGTGGCAAGCTAGTTGGTGGCGGTGGTGCACATGCGGCCGTCAACATTTGCGATGTGGTGGCCAATTGTTCCATTTCAATTAGTTTAATACTTTCTTGGCGTTCATAATTCGGCAGTGATAATTTGTAGTTGGCACTAAAGTTGAAAGCGCCAAGGTAATCGTTCGTTTTTATGGCTGAGGTATTTTGATTTGTCGGTGTAACCTCACCATCGCCAATAGAACCTTCCAAACACGGTATGGCCACTACAGCCGGCGTTGGTGGCTTCTTCAGACCGCGCGAGGGCTTCGCCTCGGTGTACGAGTGAAAATTGAGCGCATCTAAGTACTCGGAACTGGAATCGAAGGTCTCAACTAATTCGCTACCCGACTGCGTTAACTTCCCGGTAATCTTAGAGAGCGGTATATGTGAGAGCTTTACTTTGTGTATGCTGTTCGGCGTTGAAGTCGCGCTTGGTGGTGGCGCTTTTTTCACATACCGGTGATGCAGCGCTGGCGATTGTGTTGGACTCGTCAAGTGTGTGGGTTGCTGCTGTAGCGCATCTATGTCCACAGTTTCCACGCGCTCCGCATCAGAGTGTGTAATTATGCGCTGGACATTAGGTGACAGTATGCGTATTTGATTGCGATGCTTGCTGGGGCTGTTGAGACTGCCGCTGCTGCCCGAACTATGGACGAATGGCGTTTCGCGCGACAAGCGTGAGCCTGTTGGGCTGTTATGACATGCGCTACCGCTGCCCTTTCCACTGCCGCTGCTGCTGCTGCGTTGACTGAACGAAGACGATGATGAGAGCGAATTGAGACTGCGACTACTCGCACTGTAAGTATGCTCTATGCTGTGGTTGTGGACACCGCTGTAGCTGTTGTTATGGCTGTTGCTGTAGGCTAGGTTAAGCAAAGCAAGCGTGCTGTTCCGACCGCCGCCAAAGCCGCTGTCTGTAGAAGTGCTCAAATAAGTTGCGGCCTCTGAAGACTGTTCATTTAACTGTCGTTTTGATGGCGCAGGTGAAGGCGTATGTGAAGGTTGCTGCTGCTCTACCCCTACAGCGTGACAATTACTCTTATTACTGTTGCTGTCATTACAATTATTGTTATTGTTGTTGTTGTAACCGTCTATATGGAAACTATATTCGTCGCTTAACTTTTCCTCTGCGCTGAAACTTGAACTGCGGCTACTCTTATTGCTGAGCGTCGGTGAGTCGCTGTGATTGCTTGCAATGCTTACATTACCGTTAGAGTGCGCGTCAATGCTGCAAGCGTTCTCGTCGCCGTTTTCGCTTATTTTTATATTTTCGCCACTGCTGTTCTGCTGATTTATGTTACTATTATTGTTGTTGTTAATGTTATCGTTTGTATTTTTGTTGCTAGCCTCGAGCGCACTCGTCAAGGTGTCGTAGATGCCCAAAAGCGATGGTGCCAATTCTGTGGAGCTGCCTGCAGTTAACGAAACGAATAAGAAGATGCATAAGAAAATTAGTTAGTTTAGTTGTAAATTAGATGAGCATGTGTGTGGCGTTAACGAACATGATTTGCATAAATGCGATAATCAATTTCTAAAGTCGAAGTTTAACATTCATATATATAGAAGTTGCCATTTTGATTCCATTCAATTGATTACTAGTTCAGATCCTCACTTACTTACAAAAAAAACTATTAATAACCTTTACCCAAGTTTTTGCTCCTCCATACTATTGACTATCGAGTAGATAAGGAATGATCCAAATATTTTTGTTTTTTTTTTATATAGTAATCAAAAACACTTTTAATATTTAACTCAAATATGACCTAACGGGTGATTCATTTCTACTTTTTTTAAAGATAAAACACAGAAACTTCAAATTTAATGGGGAATAATTATGATCATTTGAAAGATCATTTATTTTTTTAATATAATCGATATTAAAAGTTGACCACTGCTATGTCTCAGATGGTCCATCCGTTGAGTCCAATTTTCGATGATTGGTTCGAGCATTTCCACTGGTAACTGGGGAATGATAAGCGTGATGTTTGGTTCCAAGGCCCGAATCGAAGCGAGATTGTCCGCAAAGATTTCAAATTTTACATATCCTCACAGGAAAAAGTTTAACGGTGTGATATCACACGATCTTGGGGACCAATCGATCAAATATAGCCAGGATCTCGAGCTTCAATCTCAGACATTGAATAGGGTTAACATTGCGCGATAGCGGTTGCCAAGTTTTTTGGGGGGTCAGTTACTAACTTCTTGGTTGGTTCTCAGCTACGTGTTGTCACGCATCTTTTTATGTTCTCGACTCGACCTAGTTTTTGAGTTTTGGTACGCGTCTAGCTTTGACACTCTTTCAACACCTAAAATATTAACTAAAATGCGTTGAGTCAATTCAAGTCAAGTGGTAATATCTGTTTCAACTGCAACTGCTTCTTTAACTTTTTCGATGTTATCGCCATAAAAGAGGGCAAGTTTTCGATGAGCGCACTACTCTCACTTAAAAGCTTTGCGCTACTCAAATTCTTACGTTCGCGATAAAATAGACTCCCCAAAATGATATTCTCAATGATTTCGATTTTACTAACTGTAGACGCTCTTGTGACCATTTTGAATAACACTTTGGTGGAAGAAATTCCTACAGTGGCAAGAAAAAACCAACACAGAAAACAGTTAAAAGTTTGTTTGCTGCCATTTTAATGGAATTAATAAAATAGTGTTTATAAGTGTATACCTCGAAACCAGCATAAATTCCATCTACAATCTAGGCCTGAATGTCAAGGGAAGATTAACTTTTTTCAAGGGCAGAATAACTCTTGTCATCAACTACTTTGGGTTACCGCGGCGACGTGGATATAGTTAAGCGCCTACCAATTCAACTAATGCACTGATTAGGCCTTGTCAATCGCATGGAAGCTGATGTTTCTTCGATTCAAGACCCACAGGTGGACAAAGAAAGCAAAGTCGCTCAAGCATTATATGGAAGAATCAAATTTTATTTTAACTTCAATACACTTACATGTATATTGGGATGTAAATACAACTGGCATGACAACGCAAAGATCAGAGGCTACTGCGAAGTTTTGTGATCTCGCCCCAGACCGAGCCACCGTGGTAACGCCAAAGAAGAAGTGGAAGAAATTGGATTTCCATCATATACGTCAGCACAACAATTTTTATTATATTCTGCTGGATTCGCTTAAGTAGCCTGAATGGCTTCAGAGTACCGCCCAATGGGCCACCTCAATTTTTGATATATCGATCTGAAACCTTGCACACGTGGTTTTTTCTCCAAGCCACTTATTTATTGGAATCTACGATAGCGGACCAATATAGCACATAGCTGTCATATAAACTAAACGATCGGAATCAAGTCCTTGTATGGAACACCTTTTCATTTGATGAGCTATCTTCACAAAATTTGGGATGTATTATTGTCCAAAGTAACGCTGCAACCCTAGCAGTCATACAAAGTGACCACCAAAATCTTGTATGAAAAGTTTCCGCTGAAAATGGTATGTTTGCTTCAGTACTACAATCCCTTGAGAAAATTCAATCAATGCACGATTGTGGCGCCAATGTGCTTCAGCTAACGACGCATTGCTGTTCGTTGCAAAAATCGACGACACGTCTAGTTAATGACTAGCTTAGCATAAAAGTGCACCACAGCTATTAACAATCCATCGGCATAAACGTTCAAATCACTATTCAAATCAATTGGCCAATGCCGATACCACAAGCCAAGTAAAATTCGTATTGACATGCTGTGATAGGCAGGGTCCTGCGCTGGGACCAAAGTAGAAATCACTGGTACGTCTGTCAGTGATGGATGCGTGCGAAAGCAAATTGCCAATGGAAAATGCAACAATTTATTATTATTATTGATTTAACTTGAGGTATTTCGCCACAAACACACACACACATTAATACATGCGTAAGTATAATTATAAGTGGAGAACTTGCTGAAGACAGTACAATGAGCATGCTGAAGGACTATTCGAGTCAAAGTACACAAATGCTCGAATTGATTAATTGAATTCTTTGGCTTGTAATGGCAAGCGATTCATTTTACATATGTTGCACGTTGCATATTTAATAATGCTTAGGGTGGAGTGTAGGTCAGAGCGGTTTTAATGCCGCAAAGTGTGGTTATACCATTTACTTTTTACGCTTTCAGGGTTTATAGGACTCATACGTAATTGTAATAAGCCATTATTTCAATTATAACGTAAGCTAAGCATATTATTACGTCGCGTAGGGCTTAGACTTCGGCTTCGCAAAGCTCTCGTGTTGCGCTTATGATTTGCATACAAATTTACTGACTTTTCAGCTGCCAATCTGCCACATTTCGCTGGTTATGGCTGGGGCTGTCAGTTCGTTTACCGCCATCAATCAATCGCTTATGGCATATTCGTTTCGACGAGCGCATGCAAAGTTCGTTTATTACATACACACTCAACTGTACACGAACTTAGTTACTCTCATTTAGTGCCAGCACTACTGGCGAACAACAACTCAATATCATTGCAGATGCTCTTCAACATGCAACACATCAGTTGAAATCGCCATGAAATTTAAGTGCTGCGTGCCACTTGCAACATTGTTGATTGCATTTGCAGCAAATTGTTTAACTGACTAACTGACCGACTGTCTGACTGTCTGGCTGTCTGGCTGATTGCCGCAAATGTGCCAGTGCATGTTGTGAAGTTATGCCAAACATTATGGCATTTCATTAACATTTGTGGCAATCAGGTGAACATGTTGTGCATGCCACATAAATTAGTGCAGCATTATTGAATACAGCAATAAAATTATGTGTGTCGCATTGCAGTGGCATTTATTTTTGCGTGGCTTTTTTATTTAATTTTAGGAATGCCACGCAATTAAGATTTATTTTTATACTCTCGCAACAAAGTTGCTAAAGAGAGTATTATAGTTTTGTTCACATAACGGTTGTTTGTAAGTCCTAAAACTAAAAGAGTCAGATATAG